CTCCACCTGAATTCCGCATTTCAATTTTGTGCGGAGCTAACCACGATTCCAAAATTTCTGATGAACGTAAACAAGACTTTTCAAAATGAAATACCAAGAACAAAATCCTTTTCCATCAAAACATCACATGGCCTTTGGAGTATTTCACTTTCAAACGCAACTGAACCAGAATGCCACCGTATGTCTGACAGGATTGGATGAAAAGATGGCGACAAATAATTCCATCCATGAGCTCAATCCTTCGTTCTGGTTCACTTTTCCTCCAACCAACATTATATTCCCGTTAGGGATGACGAAAATCGAAATAGTTTTAGCCAAACGAATTTTTAAATAATTAAATTTAAATTTAAATAATAAACGAAAATAATTGCACACATCCTGGCAAGATTCATCTGGTTTGGGAACTATTTCACACAATGTTTTCCGAAAGCCTTGCATTTTTCCAGTTAAAAAAATGCGATATCCAATGCCTTCAGACTCGCAGTGTGTCACTTGTATTACAACCATTTCATCCAATTTGTGTTTTCCCATTCATGTTCTCCATTTCATGTATCGTGGCCTTGTCGATGTGGATATTCATCGAGTCACTCACAATGCGCTGCCTATTACGGGTAGGGGTGAGGGTCTGCTACGCCATATTTTGGAGCAGGGACATGAGTTATGAGTCAGGTGTGTAGCATATGAGACATCGCCATATTGTGGAACTGGAATGACTGGATACCTGACTAGTGTCGCCTTTGCAAACAAGCACCGCTCCCCTTTAAATCCCATGCCAATGCTTTGTTACACACATTTTGACATACATTTTTCGCTTTAAAATATCGTTACTATCCTCTTTAAAATCCAGTCATCCCATTAGAGAGAATCCTCTCCGTGGACAGCACATTCAGAAGAGCAAGCGTGACGCATAAACTCATTCTTGACATAAATGGAATAATAAAAAAAAATATATATATATATATATTAACAATTTGGAACTGGAAATCTTCAACCAAAAATTTTTCAAGATAGGCAGGAGGAATTTTCAGGGTAGAAAATAAATGAAGATTCGATCAAGTGCATGGTCTTGGGCTCTTAGGAGACCGGTGGAGCATCGAAGGGAAAAATGCCGTTAGACGACGGAAGCCTGAGCATAGGTTGTGTGAATCCGGTGAAACCAAGTGAGAGTTGAGCAGTTCGTTAGAGATGGTAAAAAAAAAAGGAGAGGAGAAAGGGCCCATTCAAAGAGAGGCCAGAGACCCTTCTTGCATGCATTGTTTTGGTTTTCCTTTTTTTCTCTCTCCTCTCTCTCATGGTTGCACTGCTCCAGTACCTCCGGCAAGGACGAATATTTCCGAAGGAGCGTCGAGTAAGCCTATGCCCACCTCGTAAAATACCATTCTTTTTTATTATTATATGAGGATTTCTCCTTTTTTTATTTTCCCTGTCATGAAAGAGAAGCGCGTGAGTCATCATCATGTCCCTGTCACGATTCTCGTGAACCCCCAATAGCGAGCACACAGTTCCCGTTATGAAACGAGTGTAAAAGGGGGCGTATATACAGAAGGGGAAAAGAAAAAGGCAGGGAATGTGGTAACACATAACTGGCTTCCCTTGAAAGGACTCTCTAATTTGGCGAATGACCCCTGAGACGTGTGTGCAATGACCGGTAGGAACCTGCACACAAGAAGGTAGGCAATTGAATATGCTCTCGAAGGCGTGAAGCGTGGGAAGTCCCCACTGCGAGTTACATTTTTTACGGAATCGGCCGATACTTCACGTGGCTGAATTTCCGGGGTATGAAGAAAGGAGATTGAGGGGCCTGTAATGGACCATTGACAGGGTGAATCCCCTCGGCCTCGACCGACCAACCGAGAAAGAAGCGCCCATCCATACGTTCTCCTTCGTCCCTAATTATCTAATTATCGGCATTCAACTTGACCTATATCGTGACTGGTACCTCACCATATCAAACTACCCATCAATTCTAAAAATTCACAAGTCCATTATATATGTAGGACAATCGCACATACTGTATAGGGTGTCCCGAAAAAGGCAACTTTTGTTCGGGGATTTCTGGAAGACTAAAGAATGGAGATTGAACCAGCAGAAAGGGCACATGAATACAATTTTCTCATGTCAAATTTCATTGAAGATGTGGATATTGAGAAGTGACGAGGTATTCAACTTTTCAAAAGTGTCCCATGGCTATAGAAAAGGGAAAACGCTGAAGTTGGGTCTCGCCCTGTGGAAAGTTTCCGGGCAAACTAGTGACACCGAGAGCAAAGTTAATTATTACAATTTGTGATATCTCACACCCTGGGAACTGACTCCTTCTGTAATCCCACGTTTAGGATCCCTTACCATGTGGCCTTTAGAAGACACAATATGGGAGAACGCCATTGCTGCAAGTTTCTGTTTTTCCGTTTTTTCATTGGGTCACCTTTTCAGCAAAAAAAAAAACACTTAAAATCACTTATCACCACTTCTCATCGCCAAAAAAAGCACGACCAAGAAGGTGTGGTGCGATATAGATTAAATTTGGTACACAACTCATACTAGCATACTATGAAATTGATTAGAAATTCAAGTGTGTGGGATGAATATTAATGGAGAAAACATACCAATTAATCCAATTTCAATAGCGGCTATGGGGGTCATACTAATCGCCCGAACCGGTTATCTATATGGTTTTTAATGACGAAACGTGGTAGAGAAACTCTTAAAGATGTGTAGAAAAATCGAGAAAAGTTTCGAGATCGTGCGAAGAAGCAATTCGGAGAAAACTTGCTAAATGCCGGAAGAATTGGGGATAAGGGCGGTGCCACATCATTTGCATGGCAATCATTCATTTTTGTCCGCATGGTATATCAAAGGCTCCTTTTCATTATAAGAGCCCTGAAAATGATCTGATTATTGCACGATTGTATTTACACATCAAATCTACGAAGTTACAGAAAAGTTACAGAAAGTTTTCCAAAAGCTGATAAGAAAGAAGATACAGACCTATCCTATGAGGGCTAAGGTGCATGCTTTGCCATGCAAACGAAGAAAACGGGGGTCTGGCAACCTGTACGCTCGTTGGAATCATGCGGTATACTGTCTACAGATATTGTTATGCTGAGGGATTGAGATTATCATCCAAGCCAAACGGGGTCTGGCCCCATGTTAATGGAGGACACAATGGTCGTGTGTGTCGCAGAAACGTTCCCGACCATTAATGGGCGTTCCCTTTCGTCCACATAGTGTTTGTCTTCCAAATTCGTTGTTTGACGGTAATTAGAATACTGTAAAAAACTGATTTGATTGCGGCGAATATTGGCTGGCAGAATTAAAATGGGGAAGAGACAGGTTGAGATAGTTTTTTCGCGAAAATACCGACTCCAATACAGACTTTTATCGCGAATTTCCAGGTTGCACATGTATTGGCATTTGATGTTGGACTACAGGATCTCCCGTTATCTCTCCTGGCTCTTCACTCACTACTTACTATCCACCGGGTTTTTCTCGATACAGGTTTACAAAACAAAAACCTGATCGAGATATAAATTGTGGTAGTAGAGACTCAGAATGCGATTGTACTTCGCTCGGTGACAATGAAAAATACAATCTCTCTGGAGTATAGTAGGTCACTACCGGCTTGAGTTCGCTCAGCTAGATGTTTCTTCCATAAAACTTCATCCAGTCACGTTTCCTTCATGATTATTAGCTTTTCTAAGCATTTATCATGAAAGGATGATCTTGTAAAACAGAATAAATCAAATTTCTTCTGTTTCGTTTGAAATCATATAACGAGGTTGCGCTAATTTCCTAGTTATTTCCCAAGCAAATCGTTCTACTTTTATTTAGTGTGTGGTACCTGAGCTGGTATTTGGCAAAGTTTTCATCATGCGCTCCTTCTGGTGGTTTCATTACGCTTTCTGAAACCTGCCATGACGTGAGAAATAGTTGACCAAAGCTGTCCAATTTTCTTTTTGGCCATTCTACCCACGAGGAAGCAGCCTTTAATCTTCCAAGTACATTAAATTCTCTGCATCCTTAATATTCCCTCCCCCTACCCCTCACACGAACTTCAACTTTCCTCCCTGTAACCTCCTCCCTGAAGTAATAACCAGTAATGTTTCAGTGAAATGCTAAAAAGGAATTTCCTACAATTTATGTAAAGTATGATAGTGCGGAGTGCCAAATTAAAGCCATTCTCCACAAGATAGCAATGATGACATGATCTTTTTTGTGCATTCCAGGGGAACACCAGAGCATGCCGGACCTGCCGATGGAACGAATCCGACAATTTCTGGATGGCCTGGGGTCAGTGTGAAGACAACCAAGGACAATTTTGCCGTGTTGACTGTGATAGACCCAACATCGGAATGACCACCATCGCCTCCAACCTGCTCTAGTCCACTTGGACCGAACGAGTTCATTCACCAGACTCAAGTGACTGTGAATGTTGGTATCAAAAGCAGAGTAGGGCGTTTCGAAGTTTGTACCTGCAGTGCAGGCCTTTAGAACAGGAATCTATCTGGTGTTTTGGTGGTTCCCATACAAGGAAGAAAAAAAGACCAGGAGGCCTCACAATCTTTAATACTCATTCTGTTGACATTCATTCCCTGGGTCACGGTCCCTGTCCATGATGAGTATTTCATCCATGACACTTCGCATTGAACTTCCACAGATGGTAATAATCCTATTATACTTTGTAAACATAAACTTTATGAGTAAAACTAATAAAATCAAGTCTGACCAAAGATTCATACTATCTGGAAATGCCTGGGTGGATATTTGAAGCTCAAATTACATTTTGAAAAGAAAAAACCTCTAGAATAAACTCATTCATTTTATCCACATCAGAAAGAAGAAATCGGATGAAGTCTCAGATCGTGCACAAGGGACATCAGCTGACCAGAATGATCATTCTATTTATTTCTGTTGGAATATTTTATATGTAACCATTGTTGGGGAAAAAAATTAAATATGTTGTTATTATGTGCCTTGGAAGTGGAAGATGAACTGAACTCACCAAGGGCTTCGGCCGTCACATGGATGGTGCAGGAATACATAGGAATCATCAGACGTTGTGGCTGAGCCTGGAATGCACGTCGGCAGCATTCCTTCACAGTTGACATGATCTGACCCGAAAACGGTCCATAGGGTTGTGAAATCCCTCCAACCTCTAACCCACTGGCAAAAAGAAACAAAAGGGTAGGCTCATATCAAGTAACAGCATGCTCTCTTGGAAACTCTAACAGGTGCTCCGAAAATATATGTATTTTAATGGGAAGATGTGTCAAATGATTCAGCAGGCTACACGGAATAATAAGTTCCATATGCTCATACAGCTCACTAATATTTTCCAGAAATAATAATAAAATTTACTATACGGGGTTGCAAAATTAATCGCCTAAATTAGTTTTTGAGCTTGTTCAAAGCAGAAAGGTGAAGTACAAAGCACTAGAGCAACTCACGGCATGAAAGTGCTTTCCAGTTCAAACTGACCTTTTTTTTTATCCTAGTGTAGAAACATATTAAAAGAATTTCAAACAATGGTATAGGAAAAGCATTTTAAGAATGAAAATTTAATGAACAATAGGCCATGAGTCTATTATTTTGGCAAACTTCTGTACAAACACCAATGTGTTAAACTTGACATCCACTTGAGTTTTAAAAATATATAATCCAGTAATAAATGTAATAATAATAAGTGTGCAAAATTAAATTGAAGAATAGCATGGAGTAGCAGGATGGATGTTTCTCCTTCAACAAATCATTAAACACTTCCAGGCATATCTGCTAACAGCTATTTGCTTGCACTCTCCTCCTCCCACTTTTACAAATTTCCGACCCCCTCCCCCCCCCCCCCCCCCCCCCCCCCCCCCCCTTTTACAAATTTCCCCCCCCCCCCCCCCCCCCCCCCCCAAAAAAAAAGGGGTATCTCACACAGCTGTACTTCCCTGCCTAGGTAATGGTATTTATCTGAGGTGCACTTCATTTTATTATTATAATAGTTCCTAGTATATGTGACCTAAGCATTTTTTTCACTCCAGATAGCAGGCAGCTTTGAAAAAAGATAGTTTTGCTGACTGAATATCAGCAATTACATTTCTTTGAAGCTTAAGCTGCTGAGGTGAGTTTAATTTATCAATCATGGATCACCAAAAAAAATAAAGGATCAGAAGAGTTAGTGGAAAAGAATTTGAACAGGAACAGAACTTTAGAGGCATAAGATTTTTGCTTTCAATGCTTATTCATGACCTTTTCTGATCTTTCTGACTTTTCAGCAATCCATAAGTATGAAATGATCCCATTTTGCCCCTCACCCCACCCCAGTAGCAAAAGAAATTTAATTGCTCATATTTCAACCAATAAAACAAACTTTTCAATTAGTGTATGCCATCTGGAAAGGGAAGCAGAATATTATTAAATTACTTATATCATGAAATAATAAAATCTTGATATTAAAAGTGCCAAAGATAATTACCATTACTTTGGATTACCCTGCTTTGAAATTCACATGTCCAGCCACAACACAGAGATGTCAAAAGAAACCTTTCATGTAAGATTGGGAGGCAAGCTCCTTGGATGTTTTTTCAGCCACAGATATATTACATGGATGTTACACACATTTCAATTTCAATTAATGCCTTAGAGCAGGGACACAACCAAGATTGGGGGGGGAAGTTTAAGGAGTTTAAACTCCTTAGGCCTATAAGCTGTGCTCTCATTGATGCCTATAGAGGGGTCCCTCTTTTTTTATTGTGGCACTGATTGAGCTTGTCACTCTGCCAGTATAGTTATGGATCTTAGTCTGATGCGGCCAAAGGAACCATTTAATTCGGCTTCCCAATTCCACATCTTTCAATTATAACACAGTGTTCCAAAAAAAACCTAAGCAGACAAGTAGCAGCAGACCAAGCAGACTCATCCATCTTTCCTTCATCATCTTGTCAAGACTCCTCCAAGAGTCATCTTGTAATGCATATGAATCAAGGAAGACATGGAAAGTTTTTCAACTATATGGATATTTGAAATTGCCATGATTATGCCACCAAATTCCATGAAAAACAAGAGATAAAAAAGGCTAAATCTGCTCTTGAAGCTTATAAAACTCTGTTTTTTGGAATGCTGTACTTCCAAATATATATTTTTTTAATTGAGAAATGTACTCAAGTCATTATTGGTAAGCAATTTTAAAAAGCATTTACGAAAACCACCTTCATCTAACCTGTTGTTTTGCAATGGGGATTCAAGAATCCAATCCTCAACAACAAAGCAGACACCCATCATCGATTCCTCACAGATGGGCCCATTCAATGTGGCCAGCTGGAATCCACTTATAAAGCTACTGTCATATTCCCATAATCTAGAGACAGAGCCAGTCCTTAGTGCCTCAAATGCACCTTCACGACTTGCATAACCAGGAACTCGATTTAACAGAATGTTGGGTCCACATCGCCGTGGCCCAAAACTCCATATCTTGGAAACAGCATCAATCCAATCAGGTCCAGCTTCTTGGAATGCGGTTTCTAGTTGAGACTGCAGTTCAGCCAGCCGGTCCATGGTCACCTGACTGAGTTCAAAGTCTTCATTGCGGTTCTTGGTCCACTGATGGTCCAAAGCCTTGAGGATTTCACCATTCTGTTCAAGCAATAGTGTCACTTGTACAGGGAGAGGCTTTGCACAGATTCGCACTGTACATAATCGGTTAGATGTCTTCATGGTGATGCTACCTGATAAGTCTTGATTTGCATTCCCCTCATCAGTCCCCTAATACAACAAGAGATCTGAGTAACAACAAGGCTCAACTATGAAATTACAAAGGAAGGATGCACCACAAACCATCTTGCCATTGGAGACAGCTTCAGTGATAGCTTCATTGACCATGTCCACAGTGGGAGGAGGCACAATGGTCTCACGGAAGGAGACCAATGGAGGAGAAGCATTGATATCAACACGTGCAAACTGTTCTCTCAAGTCATCCAGACACCTCTATTCACAAACAAATGGAATGGTATTACATACAGCTCTACAAATAAATTCCATTAAGCTAGATGCAATTTTCCTTATCTATCCCACCTGAAGGTGAACCTGGCCAGCAGTAACAATCACATGTTCCCCAGACTCCTGAAGTAAGACCTCAACACAGGCATCAGCCTGATTGAGAAGGTGAAGACCTCTCTCAAAGGATGCCATATCCTGCAATGCACAAGAAAGGTAACTTTCCACATGTAACATATCAAATATGGAATTCTTCAAGCCATGAGTTGTTCATGCCTGAGGGTGTGCAGGTTCAAGAGCCACCCTGAGGATGGGGACAACCTGAGACTGAATTTCAGCAAACGATGGGCATGCAAGAGTTGATGTCAGTGTGGCTGACTTCAAAACATGCTTCTCCAGACCTCCTATACCTACAGGAGAAAAATATTCCCAAATCAAAGGAACAATTCCTCTGTCAAGCATCATTAAGTTTCCAGCCTGACTTACCAAGAATGTTGCCAGCTGGGACAGAGAAGAGTGCCTCCAGTTCCCGTCCCATAAAGAGATAGAGGTCAGTCACTTCACAAATGGTCACATGTTCCTTTAGGTGAAGAGATTCCAGGGTGATGCTGCCATCCACCTCCTTCCCCCCTTTATACTGTCAATGAAAGTAGGAATACATATGATTGTGGCTTTAATACTCTTATACTGGGGCTCTGTAAATGAGTGATATATATTACTGGAGCTCCTACAGTAGAGAATCTTCAGACTGTGAAATGGCATATTAGTGAGACAAGGTTAAGGAAAACAGCCCTTTTAGGCAAACCTACATATGATTAGGACATGCCAAAGCAGGTCATACTCCCAAACACTGCTGGAGAACACAAGATGGAGAGGGATATCATGTGCCTGCTAAAAAATTATGTTAAAAAATAATTATCAGTCCTGCCCACTCTCATGAGCCTGGTACTTGGTCTCTCTCGATTTTGTAACTTTTATCCTGTCTTTGAACCTGCTACCTCCTGCTTCAGCTATCATAATGGTTAAGTCCACCCATTTTACACTGATGGTCTCCTGGTCTCCCAGAAGGAAAGAAACAGGAACTGAGGGAAAAATGGTCACATTTCTCAAAGAGAAATGTCCATTTTTTTCTCACCAACTTATGGCACCTCTTTGGTGTTAAGGGACTCCTATAATTTCATCCTGATGTGTCAGGGTCAAGATCAGAATCAGCTGCACTTAATTTCACCTTGCTTTTGACACAGCCATAACATCAAGTAGCAGGCACTGAACTGGAATGACCGTGACTTAAGAAGTGCTGTAATGCTGGTGAGTGACTTAATGGGGTAAGGTAACCTTGTCCATGTTAAATTCATCACTTTCAAGCTCATTTTTTCTGAGACTATTAAAGATAGGTGATAGGTGCACATGCATAACTTGGTGTTTCCATGACATTTTAAACCATTTACATTTGCAACATACCTTTTACATTTCAATTAAATTTTCCCCCCTAATCTCAACTTTTTTTTTACTTATTATTTTATTGCAACTTACTGTCATATGATATCATAAATTCAATTGACTTAGAGTTGAGAAATCATATTCAGTATATATTAAGCACTTATTAAATTCCCTTTGAAGGCCTACTTGGCCAAGGATCTTGGAAATATTTTTCCTTCACCTTTTCGATGGACCATTTTTAATAAGTGCTGAATATACCATTTATAGGACTATGACCACTCCCATCTCTACCAAAGCATATTCAGCATACTCTGAAAAAATTTTTACTTGAAATATCTTTAAAAATGGCAGGAAAAGTGTACCTAAAATTTAGAAATTGTAATTTGCAGAAACATACATAGAGTTTAGGTTCCATCTCATGATTTTGTACTCACTCATTTAGTTCATGCCTCCTCCATATTCTGGATCATCTGAGTCTTCTTTTTCCTTCAATTTTTCCAATAACTTATGACTATTGGAATTTGGCTATATGGATCAGCGCAATAAAGTTTTTCCTAAAGCAAAGCATCTGAAAAATATTTATTGTGCTTCAACTAAACATAATTTTACTAAATAAAAGTATACATTTTCTTTTTCAGAATTAAACAGAGAATGAGAAAACAAAATAAATAAATCTAACTTTTTTTTCAAAATTTGCATGACCTGACCCACTTAAGAAGTGATATAATGCTGGCTAGATAATTTTTTCTCAAGCATTCCATTCATAAATTTAAAAAATTACTATGGGAGCCCAATGAAGATGTAAAGAAAGGAAGAGAGACTAATGATCCACACTCACCAGACCTAGGACAAACTAATCCTAAGGAAAATAAGCATGATCAGCCTTTATTTCCTTTAAAAATTTTTTCATCTTACACTTTTGCTGCAAAAGGGATTAGAAAAGGGAATATGAAAAGGATTAAAAATATTAAAGGTGAGAGACCACAGATGTGCATGTTTAACATCAGCAGTTCTATGCTGGACAAATATAATCTTTTTGTCAATTAAGTAAAGTTGCAGTTTATATTAAATCAAAAGGAGATTACTACCATGTTAAACCATACACATATGAATGATATCATGACATGAGAAGCTCAAAGATGAAGGAAGGTTAAGACATATGAGGAGAAGCAAACCTTTTGCAGTGCAGTGGCTGGGTTGTGCTTTGGTCCCAAGACATAAAGTCTCTGCCCTGGAGTAAGGGTTCCAGAGAACACCCGTGCAAATGCAACAAATACAGTGCTTGGGGTATGTGATTCCTCTTCTTTCTCAACTTTGCGTGAATCACTTAAGTTATCAGGAATCTCCTTTTCTCCTTCTCCTACAAGGATGCACCCAAGAATTGTTGAGAACAGGTATGATGCTTAACCCTTCCAGCCTCAGAATATTAGGGTTTCTACCCCTGAGGGACTCATCTCCAGAATGTACCATCTTATGGCACCAGTTCCCATGTTTTCAATTTTTAGCACAAAGGTCTGGAAACCAGGAGAATGTTTCCTTATAATACCTGAGGATGGATATCATTTTTTGGGAAGAAGAAGTGTTTCTAATAGAGCAACCTTGCTTTCATCAGCCACACATACTCATTCTGTGCATGTTGAAATTTTAAAGCTCAAAGTCAATTGGGGAGACTTAATGTTGAATAAATAACTCTTCAACAAGAAAACTGTGGCTATATTGATTTTTCAAAGTCAATATTATGGAATTTCAGAGTTTTCCACCCAATAGTTCCTGGGACATATGTGATTAAACATGAGGATTGAATAATACCAGTTTGAGTTTGATTCTGGATCCTTTGTGCATGTCTATTGCGAGCTTCTTCTCTCCTTTGAGCCAGTTCCTCCACTCCCAGTGGTCGAGCCTTGTACTTAGGCAATGAACTTCTCTCAACCTGCAAAAATATTGCTAGCAAACAATTTTTCTGCCTCTGCTTCTCAAAGATATTTTGCATGTCCTAGAATTCTCCTGGAGCTCTTTTTATTTTTAACTGAACCTGAATTCTGAATATATTCATGAAACTAGGATAACAAAGACTGACCATAGCTTAACAATATGAAGACAGTACCCACCGGTATCATCTTGGAGATGAAAGCAATAACAGGGCTGTTTTGAGAATTTTTGGAGCAAGCCAGAAAGGCATCCCTGAGTTCCCGTGTCTCAGGCGGTAGTGAGTCAAATGATTGGAGGCGGGAGCACATGAGGTGCTCTGCCCGCTTCTCACTCATCCCCTCAGGACTAGGCAGCTTCTTTACTGCTTGGTCTGAATGCAGTAGAAAAATGAAAATGAAAATATAATCTAAGCAATAAATTTAATTGGTAATATCCTGAAATGGGTGGAGGATTGGCCATTACAAAACTCTCTAGTATAAGGCACAAAGGTTCCCTTAGCTCGATTTACTACACAGAGCCCAATGAGTGATGAAAAGTTCTACATAGGCTTACCCATGACAGCTGAGGCAAGAGGGAGCCAACGGTTCATAATTGCCTGGAGCTGGACCCGAGGATCAGAATGTCGTAGATCCCTGGCTGGGATCTTAAGGCCCAAGGTTGCAATGATCTTCTCTGTGGACTGTGAAAAGATAAAAATATTAGAGGCAACCATAATTTCATTATAATAATCTAACGGGACAGGTTAATGAAATGTACCTGGGGATCTCTAGTGAGAAGTGTGGCTTCATACACTTTCCAGAGGTTCTCTAGAACTAACTGGACAAAGAGAGGCTTCTTGGCTTTCGACTGAGCTCCTTTCATGATATGTTTTGTTTTCATATTCACATAATAATCACCCCACAGCACTCTCTCCAGGTTTTGAGCATTCAGGCCCAGTTTGCCCCCAATTGCGGTAGCAAAATGAGTTAAACTGAATAGAAAGAGAAAAAGGCATCAGTTGGTGGGCAGTGAGCACATTAGGAACCTGCAAATCTATGTTATCAATGAGCATTCACAGAAACTATAGGGTTAGTTTAAATTGCTCCAAGATCCACCCAGCATCTGCATCTGGCCAATATGAAAAATTTCACTCCAAATTGAATAACCTCACATTACCTGAAACCCCAGCCATTGAGAGCAGAGGCAAAGATGACATTCCCAGCTTCAGGAGAAAAGCAAACTGAGGAATCATCTGCTTCCTCCAAGAGAGAGGTCCATTCTTCTCCCTTGGTTTCTTGCTCCATCACATCGCTTGCAAACAGCTCTCCCATAACAGCATTCACCTGTCAAAAAGGACATGCCTCAACCATGCTTCCCAAGAAGTAGTCACAGCATGAGCTAAGGTGGAATGAGACTCACTTGTTCTAGGATTCGAGCCAGGTGCATGTATGCATCAAGAGGGCTGAGCTTCATCTCAGTAATGAGACGATCCAACTTATTCAATATGAGAATGGGTCGGATGTCTTCCTGCCATGCTTGCCTCAGGGATGCAACTGTCTGAGGACAGATACCTTCTACCACATCCACAAGCACAAGTGCACCATCACACAGCCGAACAGCTGTTGAGACCTCAGATGTGAAGTCAACATGTCCAGGGGAATCAATGAGATTCAGTAGATATTCTTCACCATCTAAATCCAACCAAACTCATTAAAAGTATCTATCAATGTTTTCTAGACATTTTTAGATAGTCACTGCTATGGGGTGATGGCAGAGTGAACGTCTGTCAGTGATTAAGAGAGTCAACTGTTCCAGTCTGCAGTAAATGGCCAGTGTGCATTGCCTTGGCCAGGTGGGTTTCCCAGGCTCTTGTGCTCATAGCATAGGACAAGTATTTGTAATGCCAAGAGAGTTCTGCCTATATCCCCATCCTCATTTTATGACACCTTTAACTTTAAACAATCTCTACTTTTTTTCCAAAAGGATAGTCACACTTAAATGCTCACTTGAAATGCTTAAAGGAGTTTTCTCTGTCACTGATCCACTACTATTGCATCTCTAGTGACTTTTTTAAGCAGATACAATTCTATTGTCTGAGATGCCCACCATCCAACAAGGAGGGAGCCAATCTTAATCCAAGATGCTTTTACTCTCTTCATCTTGGAACATTGGAATCTTGAGGGATTCAATCTCTATTATCTATATTGAAGCCATTTGTGAAGCCTTGGCTGATGCCACCAAATATCTGGACATCCTTGACCTACAAGAAGTTCATTGGATGATGCTGGTCCATTTGCTTTTCTCCATATATCCTTTTCCTTCAACATACACTATATTACCAATAGTATTGGGACAAGCCTCCCTCCACTGATAACAGATTGCCCCTGAGCAGGGCCACCCAGAGGTTTCCAGGGGCCCAGGGCAAAACTAAATCAGAGAATCCATGGGGGCCCCCTTGAGGCCCTTTGGAGGCCCTCCTTGGGGTCCCTTGATATGCAGGGCCCAGGGCAGATTGCCCCATTTGCCTGTTCCTGAGGTCATGTGGTAGAGGAAATTACTGTATTCCAAAAGTATATTGAGGTTATCTGCATTCTGTTACAGCTAGTGTTTGTCAGTATGGTGCATGGATTGGAGATGATTGAGTTTGAATGTGGAATGATAGTTGCTTGTCATATCATCCTTTATCCCAATACTTTTTGTAATATAGTGTATATTTCCTTCAGGACCTATTCTCACTTCACCTACTAATATTTATGCACCATGGTTATCTCAAGCTATTCAAGTGTAATGAACAAGATCTGATGGGAATTTTAGACACACCATGACAAATTATATCCTGAGAACATAGACAGCAATCAGTATTCTATATTACCCTAATTTGCTTGATGGGCAGCATCCTGTTAGCCAGAGTAGGATTCCAGAAATCCTGAAGAGATCACTTTCTTTTTTAAGTTCAAGCAACACCTCTTCCAGATGGAGCAGCAACCTTGCTCATGAAAATTGGCCATTGGGTGGTTCAGAAAATTCTAGTCTCAGTTCAGTTTTTCACAAGAGTTCCCCTTGCAGAAAAGGTGATGTTGCCTGAATATTCTCTTAGCCTCCCAAAGGTTGATTTTCATGAACAAGGTTGCTGCTCCATCTGGAAGAGGTGTTGCAAGAACTTGAAGAAGAAAGTGATCTCTTCAGGACTTTGCTGGAATCCCTGGCAGAAGGGATGCTGTCCATCAACCAAATGGGGATCAAGCAGAGGATTGATTGCATGTCTATGTTCTCAAGTTATCATTTAGTCATGATGTGTCTAAAAGTCCAATCAGATGCTAATTTTTTCTGAAGAGGGGGATCTAATATTATACCACGCCCTGTTCAATGTTTGCATAGGGCTGCTCTGTTAGCAGCTAAAAGGGTGCACAAGAATCCAAGTTAAGTACATATTGGTGCTGCCTTTCCTTGCCATTTTTCAACTTTGGCGCGGAGGGAAGGTAGAAAGAACGTATGCGGATTTTTTTCCGAAAAGAAAAAGTGGTGGATGTTCAATGAGCATTACGTGGCGCAGTCGCAGCGGCAGCGAAAGGGTGACTCATGCGCTTGTAAAATATCAATTTAGAACTTTGAGGTGCGAAACGAGTGACCAGGCTAGAATGTGTAAATCCTAAAGCCTAGGCCGACGTTTCCTTCGAAACAAGAGGGAAACTCCTGCAAGATGCCAGATGCAATCATTCGAGGTGAGGCAGATAACAGCTTCGGAGAGAGATTTCTGCCTATGCTTATGCTGCACAAGGTGAAACTCAATATTTAGCCCCCCGCCACGCATCCTCGGATGGGATCCAATGAAACAACTTCGGCGTGAAAAAGCTTTTTTCTCTTGATAGTTGGTCATTCCACGTCAAAATTATCAAAATTATGCCCAACCGCCTTGCACAAAAAAAAAATCACGGTAATAGTAATGGCACCAAAACGCCAACTTTCAAAACTCTGGGTGAATAAATATGGGACTCAGCAGAACAAGTTGCAACTCAATCAATTTGTCGGTCTTACGCAGGCTTACAAATAGCACAACTTGGATGCTGTTCCCAAGTTTTCTACCAGGAATGTTTAGGTCCCAAAGTGCGGCAAATTGAAATTCATTAGAAAATTCACAATTTATTTTTAAATTAATCAAAGTTACATGTTCGGACTTGGCTATTCAAGATGAACGAATTTTGTGTTGAGATCATCGTTATGTGACTGATAGTTCGCACTATAAGGGCTTCACGTTCGGTTAAGAAAAATCCCCCAAGGGGGGGGGGACCGGCCGGTGGTTTCGCAGCGTTAAGATGGACTCCTATAATCGTGATTTAAAAATAAAAAATAAAATAGTTTTTCAAGGGATTCAAGCTCCCCTTGGATAGAAGTCCAATATAAAATGTCTGATTACTCCCCAACTGATGACGCCATCGCAATAATTATTTTTCGAAAACTTCAATTTAATATGAAGGGTATTATATTCAATATTGAACGAAAAAGGCCTTCTGGTGTGCATGAAGGAAGTAATCGAAATCGCTTCCAGGTTTTTTTTAATGATCCAGAATATATACTGATATTTTGCGCGCAAAGAGACCGGAAAAACGCGTTCCCTTTCTCCGAAATGTGACGGGGAGTCTGGCGCTAGGCCACCTTCAAGCGTGAACGTGTTCTTTTTTTCCTGTGGGGGCATTGACATCAGCAGCGTGAAAACTGCTGATGGTGCAGATCATGCCTTGCCTCATCGGTGGCGATTCCATTCATTGCCAATGCCTCGGCACAACCCTACTCATACGCAACGCAGCATGAAGGGGTAGAGCCGAAGGGCAATAGGAAGCGGAAGTGTACTGCATGTGCATAGGCAATACCATTCTCAGGGGAAGATCGTGGCTACACGAAGGAGCAGCATATACAATGCATGATATTGAATGGGAATTGTTCCAGCGAAAAAAACAGGCGCGGTCACGAGGCAAGACCTGCCTATCCGTGCGATTATATTACATTTGCGATCAGGGCCGGATTAAGAAGTTGCGAGGCCCGGGGCAAGTGAATTCCTGGGGCTCCCCTTCCTCCCGCTACTTTATGCAAATACTGTATTTAACGTTTTTAGTTTCCTTCGGAGGTCCCCCTGGAAGAGTGGGGCCCGGGGCAACAGCCCCCTTTGTCCCCGTCCCCCCCTAATCCGGCCGATTGCGATGCAATTATGCGATGAGATTATATTAGGTAACTGTGGGTATTCGCGGCATTTACAAGCCTACTTCGAGGATTTAAAAAATCACTGCTTATGAACGGAATGCCATACTGGAGTCCGGTTTTCACTGAATTGATAGGAAGGGATTCCAGAATGCCGATCGTGTTATTTCACCGATTTCCAGCATATGGATGGCTGGCTAAGCTAACCTAAAACAAGAGAACCCATACTTTCCAACGGTAGACAATTGCGCCATGATGTGTCTGGGTCTGAGGCAGGGTGAAGTCAGATCGCGTCATATAAATCCATGGAGGTCCAACAAGGGGATCGCGGCTATTGGAGCTCCCGACCAGACTCATAAAAATGAAGGTACAATTATTGATGAAAATGTAAAACGAAAAATGCTGTACTCTGCTTCTCTGCGAGCTTTGCTTTCTCCATGTGGAATCCGACTTAAAGCTTCCCTTAGATCTTCCTCGGCACTTTTTTTTCACCTTCCTTTTCAACATAACTCTACTGCCCATTTTTTTTTTCCTTTTCATGTCACTGCAACATTTCGAGGGAATAAACTTTTATATTCAAATAATTTCAAGAAATACTTATTGAACAAGGTAAACTTAAGCCTTAACTTCAATCGGGGAAATTTACAGCTCCTTGAAATATTCTGAACTCCAAAAACTGAGACATCGAACACTCAGATATGAAGTTCTTCTGAATTCTTAGGCATTCAGATGAATTGTATGTTTACGTGTATTTTACCTTGAGAACTGAGCCTCTTTTCGAACTTTTGACTCATCTAGCCGGAAATTCATTAATACAATGCGGCGCGATATCATACGAAGATGCATCACTTGCGGCACAAGAGGCAAGGTACGGCCGCATTCGGTCGAGTATTGAATTGCGAATGCATCACCGAATGCATTCGGTCGAGAAAACTGTATGCGATCGCGGCACCCCCGATTTGATGCTCTGAAAGACAGGTACTTGCCACTCTTGTAGTTCATCTTAGTTCGATATCCTATAACTATCCAAGCGTTAATACCTTTTCGCAAACGTAAGAAAAAGAAAATCAATGGTTGGTTATTATACGTGGGTCTTGGCTAAGAGAGGCACCTGACTAGCTCTACAGGCACGCAGGTCTGCACAAGACAGTTTGCGGTTCCATTCACGCACCGTCTCGCATGAAAGAATTACCATGTTGACGCATGCGTTTTTGCCAGATATTGATTGGTTTTTATCATCCTTACTCAATGCCTTTCCCGCTGCCCTAACTCCTGAAATCGCGTATATGAGTTGAAAGTGCCGCGAATGCATCACTGCCGCGAATACCCACAGTTACCCCTATGTGACAATTCTAAAATAGCCGGTACGCAATAAGCACAGTGTGGTCTTCTGTAGGGATTTCCTCACCGAGCTGATGCAAGAGAGACACGGCACTTGACTTCATAGTAATCCCTCGTTCTTGCTCGTCTTTCCGGCTGTCCATATACCTAGAGGGGGAAATTGAATTAGAGAACTGAGAAACAATGGGGAATCTCAAGCACAGCGTGCAGTAGCATCGACAAATGTTCGACCGAGACAACACAAATGCCTGATTGAAGGCGAACGACGCCACCCAAGGAACATCTCGAGCCCATGGTGACTAGGTAGAAGCTATCTTGCCGTGTGCGTTTTTCCAGTCTGGCAAATTATGTTAAAGAAATTGAGGGCTTATTAATAGAGAAAAAAAAAAAATATATATATATATAAAGTGGATTCCGCTTTATTGGGACACGTTGGTTCCAGGTCGATTTGCCCCAATTAAGCGAACTTACCTTATAGTATGGTAAGAAACCCAGACACGAATGTCCTTTACTTGTGCAAAAACAAAAACTACGATTCAAGAAATGTGCTCATAGTTGCTTGTTTCATGCCCGAAAAAGCTTCTCTAAAGTACCAATGCCAAGAGCACCGTGTCCGTTATCATCCAAACCCTGCTCAATAAAGTAACGCTGAAGGATGTCCACCGAGCGCTCTTTCGTGGCCTCATACGCGAGTCACCTTAAGTAAAGTCTCAGGCTCCTCGTCTGCGACATTCTCTTAGCAAGGCCTCTTGGCAACGATGTCCGTATATCGTCCTCAAAGTCATCGTCTTCGGCGAAGCACGGTGCGTTTTCGTCGATGTTGACGTAGGTTCCTGTTTATGATATCAATAATGGTCAGACCCCCGTCGTTGGCTAATAAAAGCCAGATCCACGGAAGCTGTTTGCGATGGTCTCTGCCTTAACAGTCGGCCAGCTCTTAACCACAAAAGACACGGCGAAGAGGAGCGAGATAGTGGGCGGAAAAATCCATCTGGGACCGACAGCATAAGTTAATCTCGACCTTGCCCCAATAAAGCGGATTTTCGTCCCGAATATACGACGAAATTTAAATGCACTTGCATATATATGTTTCCATTCCTGACTAAATGTCCCGATAAACCGGCTGCCCCCATTAGCCGATGGCCCAATAAAGCGGAATCCACTGTATATGAAACTGAACAGAGAAAAATGAACACTCCCATTTCGGAACAAAAAGAATCACAACAGAAATCTCTCCCTCAACTCCATACCCAGTAAATATGGAATGAAAGAGAGGCAAATTCATATGTAGGGAGAAAAAAAGCTCATGATAACTTTGGAGTCTTCTATAATTTCTGCAATCCAAGGGGGCAAGAGAATTTCATGTCCTGAACCTTAATTAAGAGAATATAAGGAACAGCATCAAATCTTCATTGCAGTTATGATGTGAGTTGGTAGATGAAGCCTTCACCCAGACGATGGGATACTCTCTTGTGGGTTGAATAGGCTTGCACACAAAGTTATGGGAAGGCCAGCATTAAGATTTCATGCATAAAACAGGGTGATCAGCAAATGCATCCTATCCAATCTTCATTAAATATTAATAAACCTGGTACAATGCAGTTTGATATTCTGAGGTGAGGAGAAACACAGGTGCTAATTCACTCATAACTGGCAGAATGATTTCACCAGCAAGAGGGCAGAGACATGGAATGATAATATTCTGAGTTAGGGTAGTGGCCAATAAGCCCCTATTAAAAGTTATTGTTTGGGTATTTTCTTGCTGGCAGTTGTTTTTATGGCTTGATAAATCTATAAGAATTCTTCAATTATCAGATATGAGGATGAAAATTGGCATTGAAATCTTGCATTGACTTCAAGGTAACTATTGACACTGACACCAAGGTGCATTTCTAGTAATAAGGGATGACTTAGGGTTGCTAATTTGTCTCTTTTTTTATCTCACACTTTAGAAGTAGATTTGACATTTCTTTACACATAGCACTATTTTCTTCCACCTACATCTTTATGCTTGCAGGATATGGGGAAGGCAGCGTAATTTTTTCTGTGTATTATATTACGTTGAGCCTCTCCTTTGTCAGACATGGTGAGTGTGACTGCATGAACCGTGAAATGACAAACAGGCTAAAGACATGACTTGGGGAATGAAATGAAATGCACCACGGCAGAGGAAGGACACATTTGGAGTAAGCAACCATGTAGCAGTCTCTTTTTAGCCTGGAAGAGTGATTTTTTGCCACTGTTCTCTCCTATCCATGGTGAATTCAATGTCCTCAAATTGATTATGCAAGAATTAGACCGACCTGAGTTGACCAGACATGCGAGGAGAGATGATACCATTGCTGGCCACAAGAGAGTCAGCCAAGGTGGTCTTCCCATGATCAACGTGAGCCAAAATACACAGGTTTCGGATGTTCTTTGGATTTTTTTGGAGCTCTGTGAGCTTCTCTATTGGTATCACTCGCATAGTGACAGCTGGGGGAAACTGCAAGCAAGATTGATATCACATAGCACCAGTGCCTCTATTTAAATATCTCCCAAATGCTCACATATGCAGATGAAGTTAAGGAAAGATGGGTCAACCAAGGTTTCAGAAGCAATTCAGATGCTTCTAAGCGACAAGAATACCTTGCCACTTCCCTTATGTATCAGTAATCAAGCATCATCATGCCTGTATAGCCAAAAATGCAATGCTACAAAACAAAGGAATGAATTTTCTTCATTATACAGAGATAAAGTCCCATTAGATGCTCTTAACAGACGACAATAAAATTTATTTCAGGAGGTCAATAGTCTTTCTCTATCTCTGCTGTCTTGCCAGATAGTAGAGTGAGAGTAATGACACTGATAATATCTAATCTTGTAGGGCTGTGCGATGTGCATGTGCGATATCGTGTGATATCGAATACCGAGAATACTGCGGGAAGTCGATACTGAGATCGAGATTGGTCCCATTCGCGTGATATTATCTACAAGCAGAAAATATCGTACAGCATCGAATGGAACCGGGGAAACGGGTGTCATAAGCGATTCCGTCACTCTTCACGATACACACATAACGCTAAGTCACACAAAATAAAGTCCGTCAAATTCAGCGCCACTGCGAGCAGCATGTGTGAGAGTTTTGGAATTGGGCATCATCGCGTTCCCTCATATGAAATAACGGATGACTTATTTTTACAAAGAAGCTCTAAAAATGGAGCCCAGTTTTCCTGGGACGGAGGAAGAAGAGAGGGAAATGAAACCCACAAACGTAAAACTAGATCAAGTCAGATACCACTCCATTCTCAGCTTTGACGGTGCATTCATTAAGGTGAAATTAATGTGAGAAATAGAAAAGTCGCCATCCCTTCCGTAACGCCATGTACAATAAAACATCGTTTAAACGATCTCGCCTTTAACAATCAATTATACGCGGCATCCCAAGACACAATGCATAGTTGGCCAGATGATAAGATTCGGTATGGCGAGAAAACTCGCTTTTAAAAGGGGTCACACAATTGTCGTTTCTCCGGTTCAAGTGCAGAGACTCTTTTGCAACTTGGAAGACTCAAACTTTCCCATTTTCCATCTCCTCTGGGGAATGTCTCCGAAATAATAGAAATGAAGACGGTGAAATAACAGTATGCAAGAATCGATCCGGCTCATTTTTTCTTATTTGTTTTTTCTTTCTCTTCCGAGAAGAAAGTTATTGTCAAATGACGTTGGATCCCTGCAACACGCAAGTTCGTTGGGCAGTGCGTACTCGTAATAACTCATAACTAGACTGTAAGCCCGTCGCGACGACAAGTTTTGAAAACATCGAGGCATCGACCTGAGCACGGAGGCATTGACCTGGGAGTACATTGATCCATTGGCAAAATAAACTACAAGTATCAATAATGATAAGAAGCAGGGAAATGGATAACGAACGAGAAGCGCCGAGACGAAGAATTTAAGCCTGGTGAACTCAGCACGGTTTGCGGTAGGGGGGAGCGGCCGACATGCTGGTTCCGTACCGCCCCATTATCACTACAGCACCGACGAATTTCGATTGGGGCACTTCTCTTCTTAGTCTGCTGAAGCACTGTTTCTCAGAAATCATCCATGCCACCGACCATCGATGCAAAAAGCCATGGATGGATGGCTTAGAGCAGGGGTCGGGAACTTTTTTGGCCATGTGAGCCATATAAAGATTGAGGTAAGTGCTCGTGAGAGAAAGATATTCAAAACAGAAATTTTCCTCAAGTTAGCAACAGACATGTGCATTATTTGATACATGAGAAAAATGAGGAACGGCTATGACTTTTAGCTATGACTCAATGAGCCAAACTTTTCAGCTCGTAAGCCAAAATTTGGCTCATGAGCCATAGGTTCCCGACCCTTGGCTTAGAGACTCATAATCGGGATTTTTCTAAACTAAGAATTACCGAAGATAATGTAACGCAAATTGAATTTCTTTCGTTCTTCCAGCCCCCACACCCATCGATTGCATCAAGTATCGGCAATGTTCCCGATTTCAGTAGGACGATCCTATTTAAATACAGTAACGCAGAGTACTACTTTCTGGCCGTCATTTTATATACTTAGACAATCTTTCAATTGCTGCAAGTCAACAAGAACGTTTTGACCATTTCACATCTGCATTGTATTTCAGTACAAGAATGGACACGGAATATAGGACCTTCCAGCGAGCCCCATGAGAGAACCTCAATCATAATCATGGTGCCTTGCACACCAACCATGAGAACAGGTTTTCACTTAACAAAAAAAGCTCCAGGCTTAGTCTCTATGTTGATAGCACATGCCTCTACTTCCACTCGTTGCATGAAGCATACTTGTTACCAGATATTGTGAAGGATTGATGAGGACCTGAGTAGCACGACTTTATCCCTCTTACAATCTTATACAAGTTCACAAACCTTTTTTTTTTATATATAAAACCTACAATTCGAATTCTCTCAAATCTCATTCAATTGACAGAAGGGGAACTGGATGCAAACAATGGAGAAAATGCAACAGACATAAATACTGTCCCATTCCAAAAAAAGTAATGCTCTCCTGAGCTTCTTGAGTGAACATAACCCATACTTTTCCTGCTTCTTGTTTGAAAATTTGTATTGCAATCATGGTGAATCCTATCATTGGATAGGCCTTTTTACCTCCTTTTGATTCAAAATATGATGCAATAACATTTCTGCCAGTTTCAGCATGGTGATTTAAGGAAACTGGAAGGTTCCATCCACCAGCTGCTTCCCTTTCACTTGGTCTAATTTTTTTGGAATGGCACAGAACCAGACTATATAGAGCACACTTTGTGTAAGACCCAAAATGAAAGACATCTCATAATTAGGCTGGTTTAATTAGGTGGGTTTCAATAGTTCAAGCAGGAAAAGTTCATGAACTGCCTATTTTCATCTTTCCTCGATGACTTGAATAAGAAAGTTATTTAGCTTGATAATTCTGCAACTTCAAATGAAAAATAATAGCTCCATATTCACTGTCAACTTGCAATGATCCTCTACACAACCTATGGCATCCCTATTAATAAGCATATCACAATGTAGGTCCACAAAAGGATCTGTGTAGATACTTTTATTTTAGGATGAAATAAAATTTATGGATACAGAAAACGCAGCAGCAGGGCAACAGAGCCATGAAATAAAAGTGACTAGGTATATATGCTGCCAAAGCATATAATTTCAGAGGACCAAAGGGATTCTACATTTCCATGGTCATGAATGAAGTTGAAGGAATGATATTGAGAGAATGAATGAAAGAGAGAGTGCGTTCTAGTCCTACAGGGCATTAAATACTTTTTTTGCTCTCAGCACAGACTTCTCCATTAGCCTCAGGAGTTTTGATGGTTGGGTTCAGGTTGGATCCAGTATCTCCATCCTCAGGTCCAGGAGTCTTTTTCACTGATGGTGGCACAGGTGGGGCTCCAAGCCATCGATTTATGTACTCGGATGGATCCCAGAATCGAGATACGATTGGATAGAGGAATCGATGCCAAAGCCACAGAAACAAAGGGATCAGAATGCAAGAAATGCAAACCATTTTTCACTTTTCCTATTTCTCCTGGGATTGCTTTATAACTGCTAAATATAGAAATAGAGACTATTAAGGGTGATCTGAAATATCACTTTCAGAGGGCTTACCTACACTTAGTATAGCTAAACATAAATTAGCAAAGCAGCTGTAAATATAAGAGATAGCCAATATTATTTCCCCAAATCTGTCTGGAATGCAGAAAAAACAGCCAAAATTAAAGATTCAAAAGATCTTATGGAGAAATCCAATGCCTTCTTTGTAAAAATTGATAAGCTGATAGCAGAAATAACCAATATGAAGATGGATTCCAATATCTGGGAGATGGCTGTCCAGATCAAATTAAGTTACAGGATATTTTCAGAAAGTGATGTAATAATGTCCATTGCAGGATCTGAATTTTGGTAAGGCTATGGGTTATGATAATATGCATGCAAGAATATGAAGAGTTACCATATTATTCAACAATACTTTTATAACATATATTTCATTGACCTCTTGCAAACTGTATCTCCCAAGCAATGTTGAACATTTTCAAAGCTGCATAAGTGCACAAAGGTGAATTTACAGGTAATAATAACTCTATTTTAATATTGGCAATCTTCTATAAAGTTTTTGACAAACCTAGCAGCGATAAATGCAGAAAGTTTTGCAAGAGCAAAACTTATATTATGAAAATCAATTTGATTTCTTTAAAGGCTAAAAATGGCATGTGTAACTCCTTGAAGCTTGCAAGCATAAATGAATCAAACAGACTTCACAGTTGGGTCATTTCTATACTTAAAGAAAACATTTTATACAATTTCCCACTCTTTGCAACTTCTCAAACAAATGCATCATACAGGCATGAAGCAATATATATGTAATTGGCTCATCCACAAAATAGAATGCAACATATTCAGCTTGGTAATTTCCTAGGAGTCAAAATTATAATAAGAAGCAATTATGAGTCCTCCAAGATCAATCAAAGATCCTTCGGTATTAATAATTTATATATATGATATCAAACTAGCTTCATCAGCATGGGGTATAATACTATATGCTGATGACACTATTGTTTCTCCTACAGCTAAACTCTAGAATCAATTTAGCAAAGCATTGAAACTGATATTTAAAATATGGTAGAATGGTTTTGAATTCATAGACCGACCAAGAATACAAAACTAATTACATTGTTTTCAGTGAATCCCAAAAACAAAAGCTTGCCAATTGGTTATTCATTGCAAGCGAAAAATCACTGACAAAGTAACATTAATTAAATATTTAAGCTTAATGATGGATAATAGAATGAACTCAAAAATCCAAATACTCAAAGTAGCAAACACACATGCAAAGGAATTCTGTTTATAAATTACATTTTTGTTAAATCTGCTACTGACAACCAATCTGGGGAAAAACTGCTGGGACTCATTAGAAAATTACAAGTGATACAGAAAAAAGTTGAATTACTCCCTATACAAAGAAAATAAAGTCAAGTATTATTCATCCAAGAGAAGACTGAGAGTGTACCTGCTGATAACCCTTTCCTTTTGCCTACTGACATCAGAAAGTGAAGGGCAACAGTGCAAAATACAAACTTGCTATAGAAAAACATGTACATTTAACCATCATATTACCCATCATTGCTTAACCCCCCTGGTGGTATGCATGTACCGCCACTTAGTCACTTGAGTGTCAATCTTATTGCAATAAGTGAACTTAGGGCTTAGATACCCCCTTGCAATATCACTCAGAGAATTCAATTCCATCTCGTTCTGGCATAGTTTGATTGAGATAGCAAAACCAATCTGAGTGACCTGGGGCAGATCTGCAAGTTCTTTTGCTAGCAGTTAGACCCTACATGACCCTTTTCACCTTCTTTTTGCTGCTTTTTCATCCGTAATTTATTTTTATGTCTTGATTTAGTCCTAAGTATATGCCATTCTCTGCTTGTCTTGAGTTGCTGTATTCTTGGAATTAATAAAGAATTTAAGGGTAATCACCATCATCTCCCCCATCTACCCGGAATCTTTGCCACTGTATAGCCATGCAGATGAAAACTGGCTTTCTTGCGATTATAGAAATACCAAACCCTCATATTGAGTGGGGAAACATTATCATAGCGTATAAATACCTATGTGGGTATTGGCGCCTGAGGCAGCACATATGCCCACTTAGCTCCAGTGTAAGACTACAGATGAAGCTTGACAGTTAGGCCTAGGCCTAAAACAATTCAGAACTCCAAAGTCTGACATGTCCAGATAGTCGCCAAAGACGGCGGGATGGGGAAGCACACCCAAGGATAGAAAAAATACCACGTGTTTCATAGGACGACAGGGGAACGTCATGATGCATACCAGTGCTGCCATAGTGGTCATGCGTTCTTCGCTAGATTCGTGATCGAAATGATCACTCAGTCCATTGAAAGGCGATCAAAGAGGATGACCTAGCATCTTTGGAAAATGGCGAGATTTGACGTCTACTTTCATTATCATTATTAGTCGTAGTGATTTGGTTTCGGATTCGGCCGTGCTCTATATGAAGGGACTGTGCGAAAAGTAACGAAGTTCCAATAAACGAATAAAGCAGTACTGCTAAGGCATTATCGACGGTCTTAAATCTATCTTGTACAGTGAATCAAAATTAATCGTTCCCAGTGAGGTCGTCAGCATTGCCTCCCTAAAATTAGACGTGACATGTGGGTGACAGATGTAGAGGGGAGCTGGGCCAATGTGCCTCTCTCGTTTCCGGCCAAGTGTTCCTCTCCTGTTGCTGAAAAACAAACTTCCTTTTGCCACAACCAGTGTGCTCATTTATCCTCTGTGTGCTTGTGTTCGGGAGAGCATGTCTGCCCTGTCTGTGATTCGACGCTCAAAAGAACGAGGCTTCAGCTTGAAGTATGCCAAGCATCGGTTCTCGAGCGCCATCTCTCGTCAGCTTTCCGATAAGGTTAGAAAGTACAAGTTCTTGCATGTTCATCCGTGAAACAAAGTCAGACTTTCGGTCTGGTGAGGTGACTGGAATGAGAAGCAAACCCCTTGCCGCAAAAGCTAGTTTGTCACATTGACAAAGAAATCAAGTAGTCTCAGTCATAATCGCATCGTATTCTTAAACGAAGGTTATCTACTTTCCTTAAAATTGAAACTTGTACGTCGAATTTCTGTTTTCTGCAGACGGAAGAGAATACGATCGTGAGAAAATCTTGGCTGCATCACTTACACGAGGGCGAATGGGTCCGTCGATTCGTGATTCTCACTCTTTCCCGTCTCCATCTCTACTGCAGCGACGTGCGTTTTGATTCCGCTCCTTTTGATCCATCTGGGCTAGAAATCTCCATTTCATGCAAATTTTTAAATCCTGCCGATGTTGTAATTTCTGTTTGATGGGTCAAAGCTGGCTATTTCATATTTACAACGTAAAATAAAATTCTTAAAGAAATGTATCACGTTTTAAAAAAAAAGTGTGAATCGTACACAGGATTCGAACAACTGCGAAGAGATCATCGAATTGCGTCAAGTGACTTCCTGCGAAGAACGCCGGGAACCAATGAAGGAGATGAGGAACGTCTTCTGTCTCTCCAAGCGGAATTCCAAGGCAAGTCCACTCGGGAAGCAGTCCAGCTTGGCATGGGCGATCTTTCAACTCGTATTTTGCGTGGAAAGGATGAAGTTCTACAAATACACCTGGCGGGGGAGAGCCAGGCGGAAGTCCGAGACTGGATGAAGACGATTCGGGATGCCCTTCGGTCCTTGCATCGATCCCAGAGTCTGGAACGTCTCCCTCTGTCCACAGCTCCCAATACCGTAAGAAGACAGTCAAGTCACAAATGAGTATTGTGATCTGAAACGCAAATGAACGGAATCTTCCTTTCAGGAGGAACAGCTCTTTCTTGAGTCCAAGAGACAGAGGTGAGATATTTCAGTGCTTAGGCAAAACCCGAACTCCTGAAGGTTGAGTCGAACGCACGCATCTTAAAAAGTCGAGTCAAATACATATTATGGCGGTGATCTCGACCTTATGGTTTGAGTTCGGGTTTTGCCGTTTTACCCTATCGTTTTACGTATTTCTGGGGCCAGTTATTTTACCGTGGAAAACGGGAAGAAAATAAGCAGGCCGCTTTGAAAGTCCCAGCAGACAGGCGAAGAAATTTGTAAGCTATGCAGGATGACTTAAACGATCAAAATTCGAGTAAGTTTACCGTTTTTAATTTAAAAGTTAAAATTTGAGAAAACTTGAGCACATGAAGGCTTCGCCAGACAACATGAAATCCGGGACAAAAACATATCGTCCATCGCCCTTTACGGCTCATTTCTATTCGCATCGAGTTGGTTGTAGGTGCCGGATGACAGAGGCGCGGAACAGGAATTCCATCTACGAATATCCGTCCAGCGAGGAGGAAGACCGAGACGGATCGGGAGATCACGAGAGGCCTTCTCCCGCCAGGATCTTCTACAGCCTTCCTCACCTTCACGTCCAAGTCGGTCCTGAGTTCCCTAACAAAATTGTTTAATGCTCTTCGAAAATGATCGAGTCATCCGCAGGAGACATTCTGAAAAGTCATTCTTTTTCGCAGCACAACCTGCTCAAATCGAGTTCTGGTGACAGGGAGCCCATAGGTCAGGAACTGATGGGGCATTTAGATGTCTGCATCGCTGTCATCCGTCAAGGAGGACTCGTGAGTTTCCACTTTCCATTCGATTAAATTTGTTTTAAATTTTCTTTATTTCCTGGAGGATTTTCCATGCAGAGGGAGTCGGTGGAATACCTGACGTCCGCCCTCGAAGTAATAAGGGAAGGACTTTCGAGGCTCAACTCCGAATTGAAAGGGATTGAAGATGTGAAAAGGGATCTTTCCCTCGTGCAAAGGAACCTGACTCATTTGGATGTCGGGACCAGGGAGCTCTGCACTCGATGCCAGGCTTCCGCCTCCGAGATCCACAAAATCAAACAGGTTCAGAGAATATCCTCGACCATTCGCTCATTTTTTATGCTTTCACTTAACATGGATTTTCCGTCTTCGTGATGACATGCGAATGCATTGCGGCGCTGGGACGCATTTCATTAGAAAAATAAATTTCGGACAGAAATGTATTTCGTTGGCTGTCTCCTTGAACATAAGCAAAATCATGTCGCATTGTGCTTCATAATTCTGGTGGAATTCATGTGGTCTGGATTTCCTTCCTTGGCAGGAAATGGATGAAATGCGAAACCGAACGGAAGGAGAGAGGAATGATAAGATTGGGAGCAAATGGAGCAGATTCCTCCCTTCATCCCTGTGGAAGAGTCACTCCACCGACCGCAACGACGGAGTCACGAAGTTGTGATCACGGTGAATCATCGTCACTACCTCAGTTTGGAAGACCGTCCATTGCTCAATGCTCGTTTGCACCCTTCGAATTTATATCACCAAGATTTACTCTGTAAATATTCGAGTGAAACTGGTTACGCGACGCGGAGGTCCGGTTCGAGCCGAGAGATGAGAGTAAAGGGCATTTCGAGGCAGACGCGTTTCCTTCTTTCCACTCGAAATATCCCAAGGCCGAAAATCCGGGATCTGATGACCTCGACAACCGCTTTCAGAAGCACTATAAGTGCCGACAAGCAAGAGGATCTTCCCTCTGTCTTCCGTAGAGATGAAGGAATTGCATCATCAGGGAGGGGGGGGGGGGGGAAGACACTCGTAGGATGAACCTCTTATGTCATGAGAGGCTCTACGCTTGCAGTCTCTCATTCTCATTTATACTCACTTTACCATTCCTTATTTTCTAGTTAAACTCTCATTAATCCATATACGGTCCTGTAGCTGTCTACCTCAATTTTCATGGCACAATTTATGGTTTTTGAAAATTTTTGTAACAATAAACTCCCCAAAAGTCGAAATACCTATGTAATCAAAGGTATCATCTACGGCATCATCAATCAAATCATTTTTTTTCATTTCAGTTAATTTACACTTGAAAGCGAAATTCTGATTTGCGAGGTTTCATTACTAGACTTACCGCCACAATAGGTTTCATCTTCATAGTTTCTGATATTTTTTGGGACAGATATTCATCCATGTACAAGTGCAAGAAAAAAAATCATATTGTTTTTTGCTTTAGATGTGGGAAGGAAAGGGAAAAGTAGCATGGTCCGTCTCCCTCATATATGATCCTATGCCCAACAAAATAATCGTAAAAACCGACAAAATGCCCGACAAAATAATCGTAAAAACAAAGTCGAAGTCAAGGTCGGACTGGCGGCCCGGGGGGGCCCCGGGAAATATTCTAGGATAAATGAGGGCCCCTAGAACAAGGTGAATTTTATAACTGCACCATAGTTATTAATCATTTTTAGAGCTTCACACGATTTGGCAGCGCTCATGGAATCGATATCAGTATATGATCATTAGTTGCAATTGATGTTCACTATAATTCCACTTCTAATTTCTTATCAGGTCTGGGCCCCGGGAAATTTCTCGGTATCCCAGTGAGCCAGTCCGACCCTGTTCGAAGTGAAAGCACACCCAATAATAGCGTCATATTCAATGTGCATTTAAAAATATATTTATTACAATAGCATAGCCGAAATGCCGTAATGCTCAGATACGGAGTGTCCATAAAATCATACCAAATGATAAACTTCTTTGCTCATACGTCAATCCTAAATGCTAAACAAACCAAATCCCTATGGTCATTTGATTTCCACAATTTATTTTTATTCGTGAGGTAAGCGATGCTAAAAGTGATACGAATTGAAAGTGAAATCGTTTTTACCTTGTAGTTGGAGAACATAGGCGACATCTAAAGGATGAGAGAAGAAAGTATTCGTTTCGTCATGAGTCCTGTGGTGGAGAGGTGTGGAGCGACCACTGAGCCGAGTGGCAGCCACTGAAATGTCCATCGCCTTCTTAACGAAAGTGATCGGAAGAGCATAGAGGATTGCATTACTGAAACGTTTTACTCCAGTTACGAACCGAATGTGGCAGCCCACCGTTTTGCGGTGTTCCACATCGTTAACCCGCATTTCTGAAAGGCTCGTTTCTTCCAACACCCAACGTCGATTCTTTCCATCAAAGAGCATAAAGGGATTACGCACGCTAGAGATGAGATGAACTTGCGCGTTAGCAGGATTACGGAATGGAAAAATAAACCGGAGTGGAAGGCTCGAGGTAAAGGAGGTACGACCGTCTGTGCATTGGAAGTGGTAGAGGTTGAGAAGGGAAGGGAAAGGACCTTGGCCCCACAGGGGGGTAGGGGAGGGGGGGGGCCTCCCATTCGCATTTGGGTCACGGTCGACAGCCTCCCTTTCGATTACGCAATCCCCGTCCGTCCGTCCGTGATCCCCCATCCTTGTCATTCCTACTCCAGTTTACCCTCGAGGGACCTTCCAATCCAATCAGTTCTCGGGTCCCCTTCCCTTCCGTAAATAACCCCATTCCCCCTTGCGTAAGCGTGTTTCTCCCTCCCCGTCGCTATTGACCTCCTTCACCAGCTGAACCGTTCTTCCCCGACAAAACACCGTCTGTTTCTCTCGCCTACGCCGCTCCCTCCCACTCCGGTCCTATCGCGGCTAATAAATTCGTCTTCGTCATCAGATCCATCCTCCGTCGTAGAAAACGAGCTCGTTCGTCGATTCGCGGAGACATCTGGAAAAGGATTTGCATGACACAACCGGCTGGGATGCCATTGACCCAAATCCGACCTTCCTTTTCATTCAGAACACGTCCGTGGGGAACGAAATGAATGCATCCACCGACAGTCGTAGCAAAAAAAGAGACTTTCTCGTGTATTCCATTCAAACAAACAGAAAAATCACTCTCTGGAATGCCCTAGGCAAGGAATATCACGTCACTTCTCAGCAATCTTCAGCGTCAGAGGAACAAGACCAAAAAAAAAAAAACATCACCAGTCACCCAAGGGAAATAAATTAGAAGGGGAAGAAAAGGGGGAACGTATATGTACAAGAAGATCAATTATCGTCAACAGACGACATCCCTACCAAGTAAATGCAAAAACATTTGAAGATTTCCCTTTCTCTCTCGTTTACTGCTGTCGTTGGAGGTGCTTGGCTTGCTCCAACTGGGCAGTGAATATCACAGCTGGGACAGATCCTGAACGAGGCTTCTGGAAGTAGGAAGACAGAGGCTGATTCGGTGGAGTGTTATTCCAGGGGCAGCGAGACCCGGGATAGAAGCCTCGGCTTCCATCCGGACCGCGGGGGAGACGCATCACGTTCTCCGGGACGTTGAGCCGATTGTTTTCGCTGTGACGTCGTGTCAGCTGTTGGTGGTGGGTGTGGGTGATGGGATTGGGATCCAGAAGGTGTTGAGTGATGGCGCGACGGTGCCATTGCAAGGCCTCGCTGCCGCTCCCGCTTCCGCGTCGCTGGGGTCCGGCTTGTCCGTAGCGGAACGGTTTCCCGGCTTGGGTGGGGCTGCAGCAGGGGCTGGAACCGGGAGTGGAGATGCTATTCCGGTGGCTGTAGTAGCAGCAATGGTGACGGAATCCTCCCTCGGACTCGGAGCCGCTGAGACCGGAAGAGTCCATGTCGCGGAGGAGGTCGAATCGCATCCCCTTTCGCTGTCGCGGGTGGGTACGCCGAGGAGACCCCCGCCATCCGTCCTCCATTTCCGAGCCGGAAAGCTGAGATTCCGTGCCCGTGCCTCCGCTCGCCTTCCGTTCGACGACTTGCTTCCGCTTGGTCTTTTCCTTCTTCGGCTTCTGCGACAGCTCCAAGACCTTCATAGCTCTCCAGTTCTCCCGATCTTCGCCTTTTCCGCTCAACTCTTCCACGGCCTTCTTGGCGTACTCCGTCTTCTCGAACTCGACCAGGGCGCAGACGGAGTTCCCGATCTCGGCGTGCTTGCTCAAGAACTGCTTGATGTCGTTCGGAATCGGGTTGTTTGGGTTGAGGATCCGGATGAGTACGATCTCCCCGCACTTGGAGAAGAGCTCGGCCACGTTCTCGATGTTCGGCTTCTCTAGCGGCATGTTGTAAGCGACGACGGTGCGACTCGGAGTCGTCTCGTCGATGGGGGGCAGCGGATCCCGTCGTCGCACCTTCGTCCCCTCCTCGTTCACCTCCAATTTCTCCGACTGCCGCAGGGCGTAGGCGACCTGCCTCCAGTCTTTGGTGAGGTGCTTCACCCTCTTGAAGCAGGAGATGAGCTTGAGCGACACGTATCCCTCCTTGTTGCGGCGGACGTGCTTGAGCAAGAAGGCGTCCTTCACGATGCTCGCATCCGAAAAGTAATACTCCACCTGCTGGATGATCTTGTGGGTCAATTCCTCGGACGGGGGAACGAAGGGCGATTCGTCCGGCTTTCTCGTCAGGTCCCTGCAGGCATCGACGAAGGGGAGATCCGTCTCGGAGTCCAAGGGCTCGGACTCCCCCTCCCCCTTGTCCACCCTCACGGCGACGCCGCGGGGATAGCAGCCGACTCCGTCGTATTCTTCCGTGCTGGAGATGCTGCTCTCGCTGCTGGTGGTGTTCTTGCGACGGGGGACGGACACGTCCGGCAGGGGGGGAAGGGCCCGAGATTCTCCTTCCTCTGCTTCTTCACCGTCTCGACTTTTCGCTTCTTCCTCCCCGTCTTTCTCTTCCTTTTCTCCGATCCCGCCGAGTTTTTCCATCTCGAAGAGGAGCTGCTGCTCCGCCGCAGCCTCCGCATCGCGTTGCTCGGGTACGACTTCTGGGATCATGACGACGACGAACACAATGCGTACGAGTGTAGCAAAACAAACGAGGGGCCTAGCGAAGGAGATCCAAACCCAACGTTCGAAATGGCACTATGAACTCGAGTGAGGGGGAACCCGGCCTTTTTGAAGGTCTTCGCCTCGTGAGTGTGACGTAACACGATTATATCTCTCTCTCTCTCTCTCTCTCTCTCTCTCTCGCTAAGACTCTGACTTGCTCGTAGGAATTCCCGCCCTGGAAAGAAGCCAGAGGACCAATGAGAATCGTTGCCTTCATGGTCTCATCCACCTCTCTTATTCCTTCCTGTTCCTTCCCCCCTGCCCCCCCCCCCCCCCC